TTGAGCCACAGGCGCCAAGCCAAGTAGTCATACTTCTAAAAAAAAAAACCAAAATCTTTTTTTTACCTTTCCTGTTGTCTGACCATATAAGCCAAACATCTCTCGTAATCTCTCTTCACTGATGGCTTCAGGTCTGTCAATCTTATTCCCAAGAATCAGTATAGGCACATTAGCAATGGTTTCATCTGTCATTAGTGACTGAAGAAAACACAATACAAAAGGCAAAATGTTGATATGGAACCATCCAAAGGGCTTACTTTGATAAACAGTCAAGGTACTTGTTTCCTACCATCATATTATGCCAACTTTCTTTGGCAAATGTTTCCTGAATTTTAAAGTGAGCTCCATGAAACCATAAACTCAATTCTCTGTCTTCTTAAGGTGCTTTCTGTAAACAGTGCGCAGAGTGAGCATTTAACAAGTGAGGTTGTGTAGCTAGGGACAACCCTTTGGAATTGGGCAGATCTGGTTTCTGCTACTTCTGAGTTGGGACTTTGGGCAAATTACACTCACTGACAGCTTGGGGTGAAATGGAAATACTAGCACCTACCTTATGGGTTGATTTGAGAATTAATGACATAATATGCACAATATCTGGCACAAAGTAGGAACTTAGAAATTCCCTGATCCTATTCTATAACTATAGAACCTACCTAGACTTTTCTGCATGAACAAGTATTTGTTTGCCTGCTCTGGGATAAGGCATAGGTGGGTTAACTTCAGTCAGATCACAGATCTGATTACTCTGCAGCTCTGTATCTAGTACTGGCCTTGCCTGCTGCTCTTGAGCCCCTTTACAAGGCATCTGACCTGTGTGGGCGCGGTGGCTCACACCTGCAATCCTAACATTCTGGGAGGCAGAGGAGGGTGGATTGCTTGAGCTCACAAGTTCAACACCAGCCTGAACAAAAGCAAAACCCTGTCTCTACTAAAAACAGAAAAACTGAGGCCAGAGATCTCTTGAGACCATGAGTTTGAGGTTGCTGTGAGCTATAATAATGCCATGGCACTCTATCCAGGGCAACAGAGTGAGACTCTATCTCAAAATATAAATGAATAAATAGAATGCTAAAAAAATTAAATTTAAAAAAAAAGCATATGATCTGGGAAAAGGGAGGAGGTAGCTAAACATGCCCCTGTTGATTCCTGGGAGTGGTAGCAAAGACAGCATGTCATACCATCTTCAGAGGTGCAATAGCTGAAGAAATGATATCCTGGGATGACCAAGGACTCAAGAGCAATGCACTCTAGGAATACTATGTACAACAAACATGTCCTATACTAGAAAGACGCACTGGGTACAGTGTGGGCTCCTCAAGTCATCAGGAAGAACACCTATATTAGTACTCCCTAAATAGCTACAACTACTCAAAGTTCCTCTCTATGCATTCTAAGTAAAGTAATCACTACTTAAAGTACTTACTGAGCTCAACAAATTACCAGGAGTTTCACCTGAGAATGCAGAAAATCTATTCTGGTATATTTGTAACTCCTATTTCTTTAGGCTTACTAAAGTGATTTAACTATGTTTAGTTTTAATTATTTAACTTACATCAAGTTCTTCTTTTGACTCCAACAGCCTTTCATGGTCTGCACAATCCACCAGAAAAACAATGCCATTGATGGCAGGAAGGTAGTTTTTCCACACTCTCCGAGCTAACAAAAAATATCAGGAGTTGGATTTTACTTACTGGTCAAACCTAGCAGATGGTGTGATTGAACAGTCCAATATGATATTGAATATAGTTATCCCTTATAGTCAAGTTAATCTTTTACCCAGGAGAGCCAAAATATTCCCTGATTGTGGGCAAGTCAAATACTTATGCTTTCCCAATTCCTCAAAGTAAAAAGTAGAATATTTGCCACCACTGAAAAATGAATGATACAAATTAAATTCATTGGACAATTGCTACTATATAAATCTAAAATATAGGGCGGCGCCTGTGACTCAGTGAGTAAGGTGCTGGCCCCATATACCAAGGGTGGTGTGTTCAAACCTGGTCCCAGCCAAACTGCAACAAAAAATAGCCTGGCGTTGCGGCGGGTGCCTATAGTCCCAGCTACTCAGAGGCTGAGGCAAGAGAATCACCTAAGCCCAAGAGCTGAAGACACCACAGCACTCTATGGAGGGCAACAAAGTGAGACTCTATCTCTAAAATAAATAAATAAATAAATAAATCTAAAATATAAGCAGTCCAGCCTAAGCAAAACTGACACCTCATCTCTGCTAAAAACAGAAAAAATTAGCCAGCGATGGGTAAATACCAGTAGTTCCATCTACTACAGAGGCTGAGGCAGGAAGATTCCTTGAGCTCAGGAGGTCAAGGTTACAGTAAGCTATGATGATATCACTGTACTCTAGCCTGGATGACAGAGAGACTCTGCCTCCAAAAAAAAAAGGCTGGGTGAGGTGGCTCACACCTGTTAATCCTAGCATTCTGGAAGGCCAAGGAGGGTGAATCGCCTGAGCTCAGGAGATTGAGACCAGCATAAGCAAGAACGGGACCCTGTCTCTATTAAAAATAGAAAAAACAGCCAAGCATTACGGTGGGCACCTGTAGTCCCAGTGACTTGGGAGGCTGAGGTAAAAGGATAGCTTGAGCCCAAGAGTTTGAGGTTGCTGTGAGCTATGACGCCACAGCACTCTACCTAGGGCGACAGCTTGAGACTCTGTCTCAAAAAAAAAATAAAAATAAAAATAAATAAATAAAAATAAGGGCCAGGCACAGTGGTTCACGCCTGTAATCCTAGTACTCTGGGAGGCCAAGGTGGGTGGATTGCCTGAGCTCACAGTTTCAAGACCAGCCTGAGCAAAAGCAAGACCCCCATCTCTAAAAAGATAGCTGGGGCTCGGCGCCTATAGCTCAACCGGCTAAGGCGCCAGCCACGTACACCTAAGGTGGCGGGTTCGAATCCCCAGCC